GTCTTAACCAAAATTACCTCCCAGTGGAAGGGTACCTCATTTCTCCTCTTTTCATCTAGTCCAAACACAAGGAAATAACTTCAGCGGGAATGAGAAGTTACAATGTTCTTAAGAGAACTCTGACAGGTTTTCAGGAGTTCAGTTTTCTCCAGCATTGCATTTTACAATGTGACATTGATTTCTGATTTATCACTGATCATCTGTAATGACTATTTCTAATACTTACTGAGTAGGCGCTCTGGTGCCGTAGTGCCTAAGGCATTTGACTGCTAACCTAGAAGGCTGGCAGTTCAAACCCACCAGCCACTCCTCAGAAGGAAGACCGGGCAGTCTACTTCCATAGAGATACCGCCTTGGAAAATCAAGGAGGAGTCACTATGAATCGGATTCTACTTAATGGCAGTGACCTTTTTTTTTTTTTTCTTTGTTCTTTTTTTTATGTTCTATGCACTTTATGTCTTATATGTGTCACATTTAATTCATGTCATTCAGTGGTTTTCAAGTGGGGATGACTTCGCTCCCCAGGGGACATTTGGCAATGTCTGGAGATAATTTTGGTTGTCACAACTGTGGTGGGGAAAGTAGCTAGGGATTCTGCTAAACATCCTATAATGCACAAGACAGCTTCCCAAATCAAAGAATTTTAAATTTTAACTCTTCTATGTATCATGTAGGGTGTAGAGTACTGTGAATTTTCACTCTCATGCTCTCTAATGGTGAAACTTCACCCATCATCTGGAAGAATGAGTAATGCATTACAGGAAAGTTATCTCTTACAAGGTTTACACATTGTGGGATTATTTGTATGAAGCACCTGTCACATTATTGATCACACAGTAGGGATTTGTGATAGTTGGTTTTATGTGCCAATGTAGCTAGGTTATAGTACCCAGTTAATCACACACTAATCCTTCTTCTTATACTACATCTGTAAAATGATGCCAGACAAATGACCACCTAATCTTCTATATTTAAGGTCATTTCTGCTTAAAACATTAGGACATTCTGTAGGGACAGTATGTATAGTGGTTAAATACTTGGACATTTAAAAATATAACAGATTGTTTGGGTTCAAATCCCAGTTACCCCTGTAACTAATTACCATGCAACATGCTTAGGTAAATTACTAAATTTTTGTACTCCAGTTTATTCATCTGCATTCTATGGATAATGAGGGAAATATCTGTCCTGTGAAGGTATTGCAAGCATTAAACAAGGCAAAGCAGACTGTGTATTTGGCACAGTACTGGGTGTATATGTTAAGTACTCAACACTTGTAAGCTCCTATAATATTATTACGAAATGACATGAGCTGGTATTTGAGCAGCTTGCTGTAGTTTATGGGATGGAAAATAATGATTCCCTCAGTTTTGACCTATAGCTTGTTGTTGTTGTTATGTGCCGTCGAGTTGGACCCAACTCATAGCGACCCCTCCTTGGGTTTCCAAGGCAGTATCACTACAGAAGTAGATTGCCCCATCTTCCTTCCGAGGAGTGGC